CGTGAGGCGGCCAGTGGGGAGGCTGGGGGGAGTAACCAGCGGGCAGCCGGTAGGAGCGGTGGCAGGCGGAGCAAGCAGACCACAGGAGCAGCCCAAAGGTGGTGTAGCCTCAGACTCAAGGAGTGGCGTCATCAGGGTGATGTGTCAGGGTCTGCACCGACTGGACAGAGCAGTAAGTGGGCAGCCGGTAGGAGCGGTGGCAGGCGGAGCAAGCAGACCACAGGAGCAGCCCAAAGGTGGTGTAGCCTCAGACTCAAGGAGTGGCGTCATCAGGGTGATGTGTCAGGGTCTGCACCGACTGGACAGAGCAGTAAGTGGGGCGTTTGAAGTGGGGTACGGAGAAAGTTTGGGTAAGTGAATGGAACCCTTACCTTGTTGGACTAGCAAGCCTAAGAGGCAAAAGACAATGCTCAATCCTTTTTGAGCTGGGACGGTCACTCGTGGGGGGCGGTTATGAACTCTGTTTGTGGTATTTTCCCAAGTTAATGCCATGTGACCTCCCTTTCTCTCTCTTTTATTAAAAGTTTCTTTCTACACTCAGACTCTGTGCTTGCGAATGGGGAAGCATTGCCTCTCTGAGGCATTCAGACTCTGTGCTTGCGAATGGGGAAGCATTGCCTCTCCGAGGCATCCAGGGGTGTGAATTCCCCAGGCTACTGGGTGGGGGCTCAAGCTGGTTCTGTGTGGGATGGACCCCTAAATATTGAACCCGGCCCTGGTTGCTGCCAGCCCTACCCAGCAGAGGGGTTACACTAAGTAAAAAGGTGCTATGTCCAATGCTCTTTTTGACCTCCCATACTTTCTAGAGCCTCCTAAAAGAAGACTCTGATACACCACAAAACTAAGAATTCAGAAGAGGACTTGGAGATAATTATGACTCTGAATCTTCCCTGAAAGATCTAACTTTTTCTATCAGCATGGAGCAAAACAACAGCTCCTCATCCTTGTAAACCCAGCTGTGAACTTCAGATGGATGGAACATCCACTGGGCTGGAACTTTCAAACAAAAATCTAAGGTATGAAATGTAAGGATCTCATATCTGTATCTTTGCCTCCACAAGAAGGGCAATATTTAAATCTTGTCTTCTTTCTAAAGCAGCAAAAGAACCAGTTACACTAGCGGGATTAAAAGGACAGTCCCTGAAACCCAAGTTTCAAAAAACCTTAGAATATACATTCCACTAGGGAGGAAAATAGCATACAAAAGTCAACTGATGTTACATTCCAAATAATTATTGAAACAAAGTAGGCCTAACTAGGAAGAGGAAAAACAAGACCAACAATTAAAGAGCTAAGAAAGCTAAGATAATAAAGAAGTTTTAACTTACTGTTAAGTCAAAAAACTCTGCATACTTGGGTGCCTACATCTGGGTTAGGTGCCTAACTTGAGGCATTCAAATTTGAAAATACTGACCTTAAGAGTCTGAAAAGAAAGCTCAGAACTAGTCCTGGGAAAATAAGCTTTGTGCACTCACGCATGGCAGCACCTTCAATTTGCTTCTCTCTTCACTTTGTGCATAGAGGCTGCAAAGAAGTGTAGCAAAAACAAAGGGAAGACAGCAGCCAAGCCATACTTTGCATAACTCTAACCAGGCAGGCAAAAGTACTGGGAGCCACTGCACTGGTCCCAAAAGAAGTGGAAATAAAAATCTTTCATGGACAGTTGACACCAAACTGATATCATCAACTCATTTCACATTGTTCACCAAGCAGATCCAATAAGAAGTAATGACCTTCAGTCACTACCAGCCTGGGCTAAACTAAACTGGCAACCTCAAATCAAAAGTCTATTTGCTCTTATCAATCCCTTCAGCAGTCTGTGGTCTGATCTGCCAAATATTTAGCTGTAGATTACTGAAACTAAGCTAGTTAGTTAACTGTGTGAAATTTATACCTGGAAAAAAACCAGAAACCAGTATATTTCCGTGAATGAAGTACCACATGAGAAATTAGAACACCTAGGTATTCATCTCAGCTGCATAGTCTTGGGCAGGTCACTTGACCTCCTTGTACCTTAATTTCCCTCTGTGTAAAATGGACTTAGTTACACACCCATCTTTGTAAACTGGTTTCAGGCTCTTTACTAGCATAATTGTGTACAACATATGATTAGGAAGGTATATACTGCACCTTCTTGAAGTTGTGCTGGTTCTGCTGTATTTTCACCACTCGTTAAGACTACAAAGCAAGAAGGTGTTCGTACTGTGGTTTGCCATGTTGACATGGCAACTGGTGGTTCCTGACATGGAAAAAGGGCCCTGTTGTTTATTGGCGACCCAACCGTATAAACACATGGCCTATAGGAAAGGGAAAAAAGATACAAACAAGAGTGACATCATTATTACTGTTAAACATGCAATAGTGAAGGCTGGGTAGACCATCCCATTATAAACAGAAATTCAAACCTACTCGCTGGTTTTCAAATCTCACTATTTCTGGGTTTCAACCTAACATTATATGAATCAACAAAGATACCAAACCTTGAAGTTTTGCTTTTCTACATCCTAACTAATTAATTTATAAGAGGCATAAGAGAAAAAATGGCATAGATATTCCTATATCCCTTGCTTATGCCAGGACCTTTGGACTTCAGGCAATAACTCTCCAGCCACCAGGAACTGTGAACCCAAATGACCCATTTGCAAATTTTAAAACAACCACTTTTGTTTTGCCAACTCTCACTATTTTATTATGAATCTCACGAATTGTTGACATTTTTCTTTAAACACCAGATACTAGAACCAAATAACTATGTGAGAAACTCAGTTTTGAACTACGAAAGAAAAGAGAACTAAATTTACAAAGCTCAGAATCACAGAGAAAAGCTTGAAAACGTGATTAAAGTGGGCCCTAAATGATGCCAGAAATAAAAGAACCCATGTTTTTAAATCTCATTATTTTAAAGCAAATCTCAATTTTGGAAGATTAATACATAATTTTTAAATGCTAGAGATTTATAATATCAGTGTCATATGTAATTTACATAATAATTTGAAAAATGACCAAATCCTGTAGAAAACTATTAGTTTGCAATGGTGCCACCACATCTTTTGCAAAGCCATTGTAGTTCCCCAATACACTGAATTCATTAACTGAATTCCTTCCCAAAGCCAAACCCTTACTGCACAGAGGGAATGAACAGAAGCTGTCAGCTGCATGGCTGTACAGATGAAAGATTTTCTGAGGCTACTATTGATCTTTTTTCTTATACATGTCATGTTCTTTTTGATGGGACATAGACCTAATAGATTCTGATTTACTAAGGGAGATTTAACCTGAGGGAACAAACCCCAGAGTGAGAGGAATTCTTCAAGAAGCTTTTACAGCCTACTGCCTTTTACTCCCATCTTCTAATCTTTTCAGAGGCAGCAGCAGCCCCACGCTTCATCTTGCTTTTCAAAAAGGCACAGTCACTAGCCCTATTTCCCTAATCCACAATCTCACACACCCTCCAAAACATCACAAGCAGATGAGGCTAAAAGGGGTATCAGACTGGCATCCTGCAGCTTATAGCGTAGGATCCTATTGCCACTTTGGTGCCATCCCCACACACACACATATGAATAAGCTGTGCCCCATTGTGCTAGGCACTGTAAAAACACATAGTAAGAATAAGACTCTGGTCCAAAGAATGTATAATCTAAATATACAAAACAGACAAAGGGTGGAAGAAAAAAAGTACAGAGAAGGAAATGGGCCTGCTCAAGGTCAAAATACAAAATAGCATATAATGCATATGCAATCTCTAATTTTCAGATATCTTTACCTTCATTTTTAAAGTATTTTATGTTTTAAATAAATATAATTACCCAGTTACATACAATTATATCCGACACAAAGGAAAGTCCAAAAGTTGGAGAATGGATATAGCATTTGGCAAACCCAGAACTTCCACTTTTTCATAACTGTTTTAATGCTATTTTTGTTCATATATACCGATTAACTTATAATTCCTAAACCAAATTTCTTTAAATATGTCAAAGTCTGCCATGAAAATAGCAACAGATTATACAGAGCCCTATTAAATTTGAGCAGGAACATCAGAACAACAGTTATATCAGCTTCTAATTAGATATTCATATATTCATGGCATGATCACCTGGAGATTAGCTGATTGACAAGTTGGCACTAGCTGAGGTGTCAGCTAACACTGAACTGTCTCAGTCTGTCAGTGAGGGGAGAGGTTAGAAGATTTACAAAAAGGAAAACTCTGCCATGATTTACTCAAAAATATTTTTCTTCTTTCAATGGAATTTTTAACCTGTTCTATTCTCATTTTTAGAAAAACAAAGTTAAACATTATTGGGTTCCTTCTATTCCTCCTAATCACATTTTACTTTTATTTGCTATTTATTTTTTCATATTTAACATAAGTATGTCCCCTGCTGACCCCAGGCTCCATGCTGTGCTTCTGATTTGAAATGCTGCACAGAGTCAGGACTCCCCAGCTGATCCTGGGCTCCCCATGGCATTTCAGCGGAACCCAGGAGTCCCCAGCTGAGCTCGGGCTCCACAGCGCCACTTTGAAATGCCACCTCAGCATTTCAAAGGGGCATCGCCATACAGCTGAGCCGGGGATCAGCTGTGCAGCACTGCCCTTTGAACGCTGCTTCCGCATTTCAAAGGTGCAGCCCCGCACAGCTGAGTCTGGGCTCAGCTGTGCGGCGCTACCCCTTTGAAGTATACCCTTTCCCCCTCCCTTTGCTGCCTCTATCTGACAGAGGCACTGGGGTGTGTGTGTGGGGGGGGAATTGATTAGTTGACTAGTCCTTAACATCCTTCAGATAGTCGAATAGTCCTTAAAATCCTTAATTTAACATATATCAGAGACACGTTAAAATGTCAAATAGTGATAGAGATACCACCATGGTGTTCACTTTTTTTGGATTGTATCACTTTGGTATATATGGTTGTGCCAATTTTCTTCCACATATTGATCTGAAGAAGTGGGTCTGGCCCACGAAAGCTCATCACCTAATAAACCATCTTGTTAGTCTTTAAAGTGCTGCATAGTCTTGTCTTTTGTTTCATATTAAAATGTCAGCAGTGTGTTGGTGCTACACAGTTACAGTGCATTTTGTAGCTTGCAGAATTCCCCACATTAGGTTAGGGATCCTCAGTGCTAGAAGATGAGTGGAGGAGAAATATAGAATTGCTCCCTGAAATGAAGGTTCTGCACATCCCCTTTACACCACCAGGGAATTGTTGGGTCAACTGCCATCTACACAGGATATGTCATATGATGTCAATGTTAAATAACCATCAGTTCCAGACTGCTATTATCAGAACTCGCGTCCGTGCCCCCAACTGCCAGGCAATACACCCTTCCAGACATGCTGGGTGTCTTATGGTTTATTAAGTTACATACAATATTCGCAGCGTGCTCGGTTGCCCTCCACTCGCTGGGGAAGGGGGTCCGGGCCCACCCTCGCTCCGAACCCCAACCCAGGGCCCTAAGGTCAGGACGCTTGTCCTTACCTAGCAGAGGGGGTCGAGACCCCTAAACTCCCCTGCTCTCGGGCTCCACGCCACCGCCCTGGGCCACTTCTTCCCCAGCCACGAGCTCATGCTAGTCTGGGGTCCCTGGGTTAAAACTCACCCAGGGCCTCCAGTGTCTGGATCCGTCTGGTCCCTGCTGCGGCGCTCCCACTCCACGGGGATCCGTCCCTTCCTCCAGTCCGGAGTCCATTTTTAAAGTCCCCACTGGTCGCGGGGGGATGACACTCCCCCCGGCACCATCACCCTGCGCCGGTCTCAGGCGTCGCACCGGTGACGTCACTATGGACGTCCTCCCAGCCGGCCTCCCCTCTCTGCGTGTGCGTTCCCTCGTATCGCTGCCCCTCCGGGGCACCGCCGCTCCCCGCCCGGGGCTTTCCGCGGCTTCTCGCCCCGGCGCGGTGCAGGCTCCGCTTCCCCGGCTCCGCGGGGATGCGGGCATTTTAGGGGGGGCGGGGCCGCCCCGCCACACAGACACAGATACTTTTCAATTACTATTGCCACAGCTAGTTAAAGACATGGCAATTCTCCCTTCTGTCCTCATCCCCAGGTCCCCATCCTCTCTGTATCTCTCTCCTTCCTTTCTTAACATTCTGTATACAGATCCTGTATCCATAACAGTTACAAGTCACCCCCATACTTGGCCACTCTTTTCTTCATAATTCATAGCAATGTGTATGATTCAGCTTGTCCCACTCCTATCACAAGTAGAGGGAGTTACAGAACAGAAGAGAGATAAGCAGTAGAGAAGGTCCAGTTCTCTGTGTCTCCTACTGTGGTATTACCACAGAGACTAAAGATGCATCTACACTGCACCATTATTTCGGAATAATTAGCATTATTCCAAAAAAACAATGCAAGTGTCTACACAGCAATTCTGTTATTTTGAAATAATATCGTAATAATGGGTGGCTTATTCTGAGTTCTGTAAACCTCATTCCATGCGGAATAACTCCTCTTCTGAAATAGCTATTTTGAAATAGCTGCAGTGTGAACACTCCCCACTGCTGCTATTTTGAAATAGCTCCTCACCAGAGCCATTCTAAGTAATTTCTCCCCAGTGCTTCCGGGGGATGTAAATTGCAATCACACACCCACATCAGGGGAGCCTGACTTGGACTAAATTTGAGGGTTCCCTGTAGTGTGGATGCTCTATTTTGAAATAAGCTATTTCGGAATAACTATTCCGGAATAGCTTATTTCGAAATAAGCGTGAAGTGTAGACATAACCTATGTAATTATGGCCTAATGGTCCCTACAAAATATAAAGGACCTTAGGTCTGAAATAGAGATAATGGAAGAAACATGTAGAGGGTGACTCACAATGGCCAACTTTATGTTTGCTAGATCTTCTAACCGCTATGTGTTTAGAAAGTTTGGACTATGGGCTCCAACCCATTCAGATTCTGCTTCCAGAAGAAAGTGGGCAATAGCAATTGTGGAGGGAATCAGTCTCAGAGTTACTTGGACTCTGGCAGTTCTAGCCAGTCACTAATCTTGCTTGTGTGCAAGACTACCCTGGTCACTGCATTCTCTTTTTTGCGGTAATGAGCAGGAAATTATCCTAGAGATGTTCAAAAAGTGGCAACCGATTTTCATGAAAACATTTCTCAAGGTGTTTGAAATTGACACATTTTTCATTTTAAAAATATTTTTTATATTTTATTTCCCCAGTTTTAAAAATGATCAAAACACTGTGAAGTCCAAAAACTTTCAGCACAGAATCAGAGCAAGCTTTTTAATCTAATTTGACCTTCTTCCTCTCCACAAATCCATTTTACCTCTTTCTCTTCCCCTCCCC